CCCTTCAGTCTTCTATCTGACCTCCGTCCTTCCCTTCAGTCTCATATCTGACCTCCGTCCTCCCCTTCAGTCTTCTATCTGACCTCCGTCCTCCCCTTCAGTCTTCTATCTGATCTCCGTCCTTGCCATGCAGATAGCATCCTGGCCAGGATTTGAACCAACAATCCCAATGCTGGAAGGCAGAAGTGCTGACCACTGCACCGTTACAGTAGAAAAGTTAAAGGAGAACTATGAGGTCAGTGTTTTCCCCATAGTTCTCCTTAGGATCACAGGAGGACACAAACTAGCGTCCTCCCGTCACCCAAAGCTCACTCGCGGTATACTGAGATCGCCGCAGCCAGGACGGATCGCGACATTACAGTCGAGATCCACCCAGCTGCGTGAGTGACAGCTGTGTCCGCCCCTCCCACGTCCGTTCCTCCATTCAGCGCTGGAGGATCGGACAGGGAAGGGGGGAATTTAATGGAGCGCAATGCAGAACGCATTCACATCTGAGCGTTTAGATGCCTTTTAAAGGAGAACTATGAGGGGGGGGAGGGGGGTGCTTTTCACTCATCCTGATCGTTCCAGCCGACCTGTGACAATGAGACTGTCACAGGTCGGCTCAGTAGATCGGGAGGTGAGAGAACACATACCGGCGCTCGCTCACTTCTCTATCCTGTCGCGGCTCTCTGCCATGACAGGGGAGGGGATGGATTCCCCCCTCCCTGCTCCGATCCGCCAGTGCTGACTGGCGGAACGGACGGGGGAGGGGGCGGGTACAGCTGGCTCTGCCTCTAGATAGGCGGAGCCAGCTGTCACTCACGTCGGGATCCGCTCCAGGTGCGGCGTCTCAGTATATAGGGAGCTGTAGCTCCCTATATACTGAGCTTAGGGTGACGGGAGGACGCTAGTTTGTGTACTACCGTTACCCTGAGGAGAACTATGGGGAAAAACACTGACCCCATAGTTCTCCTTTAAAATACATTTAAACCTGAACTCCGGGAATACAGGGGCGAAATACACAGTGGCGTCACTGGGGGGTGCGACCCGTACCCAGACGACGCCATTGTAGCGGTGACACCATAATGACTGACAGTCATTTTGGTGTCACCCCCCCTCTGAAAAGTCAGGCACGCGGTCATGGACTGAGAGCCCGACAGCTGCAGGAGAGAGAGGAGGGGACCCGGCGGCATACCTCATCCCCTCCTCTCTCTGCCGGTGTCCACCACCAAGATGGCCGCCGGCAGGTAACAGTGTGTGACGTCATAACGTGCGTGCGCGATGACCTTGCACGTGCATAATGGCGCAATGGCGTAACGGCGTCACCCGATACCCGCTCCGGGTGACACCCCACCTTGGCACGCTCCTGGAAATACATACACGGGAGCTGTGTTAACCTGCCAGAGGATTTGTATTTTTATCCATCCGGTCCTGAGAGTCACGCAGCTCTGCCGCACAGCACAGCCATCTCTGGCAGGAGGGGGAGACCTGATTTTTCTCTCCTGCAGTTCACTAACATGTGCAGGTCTTGTCCCTCCGCCAGCCCGGGATTGGGCAATAAAGAAGAAGCAGCAGACTGATGAGCTCTTCTCTCTGTCACCTTTCTCTTTCCTCCTATTAGCATGCCCCTTGCTAGCACACGGGCACGGCCGCACAGTGCTGCTTCTCCCTGTCCTAGTCTGAGCTCTGCTGTACAGGGGATGGATCGCAAGTCCAGTTTAGGAAATGACACGTAATGACGTATTAATAAATACAGAGCCGCCGCCATTTTAGTCTCTGGCAGAAGTTCGTCTTCACGTATTAGAATGGATTTCATGGCCGGGGTGACGGGTGTTTTCACTTCGATGCGTCGGTGTCCAGCGTCCGCAGTTATTTCTACGCCCGCCGCTCGCTCCCTCAGATATTCATCGGAGACTCTGCGCAGATGTTTCTGTGTTTCATTCCGCAGACAGTTTATCACAGAAAGAATTTACTGCGCGTTTCCGACGGCCAATCGTTCATCGTCCGCGGAGCTCTCGTTCCACGCTACGGCGGGATCTCTTATAAACAAATCCTTTACGCTCTGGGCTGGAATTCCGATCCGAAGCCGTCGCCGGATTTTTTTTTTACGAGCTCCAACGCGAGGAATGGAAAAGAGAAAATTCAAGCTAGAAAGTTTCCACAACTCTCCAGCTGATCTGATTTCCTCCTGCGCTGCGGCGGAGCGGCGTGGAAGCGAGGGCTCCCTGCGCTCAATGAACGCTCCACGCCCTGCGAACGTGTAACAGAGGCCCTTTGTCTGAGAAGCGGCGTTTACAACCCCCATCGGCGCACGTAAGAGCGTCGAAAGCGAAACGCTTCCTGACGAAGTCTCAGCGCGGCGTCTGTTTCCAATGACACAGATTTAAAAGAATAACATTTGTAGCAATAAAAAGGAAACATCTCCGGAGCGGAATCTTCTGTGCCGCGTCTGATGTGTACAATATGGAGACTGGAAGGATAAAAGGAACAACGGAAGGATGCTGGTTTTGGGGGGGTCCAGTATGAGACCCGAATGGTCCTCCGTGGTCCCTCGGGGGGATGGGCAGATCCAGCATTGAGATGATAAAAAGTCCTGGCGACCGTTATCACTAAGGGGGTTATTCACAAAGCTGGCCGAAGGATCAGCTGTAGCTTCGGCCGATCCTTCGGCTCGCTGCGGTTGCGGGAGCCCTTCTCTTCAGTCGGACCGAAGGGCCGCTGTACGGGCTTATTCACTATAACCCGTACAGCTACCGAGGGAGGCTGAGCGGCAGAGCCGAGCCGAACTAACACCCGAAGCGGGGCCTAAGGCTGGCCGAACGCCTCACAAATGACAGCTGGGCGGAGCCAGCCATGATCTCACAGCTGGCTCCGCCCCAGTTGTAATGACAGATCAGCGTCCGCAAATGACCCGGGGACGCTGAACTATCATTAAACAACGATAACTGGGCGGAGCCGGCCTGTGGCATCAAAGCCGGCTCCGCCCAGTTGTTATTAATTGGCCCGGGACCTGCTAGAAGACTCTGGCAGGTGGCGGCCAATGAAAATCTTCAACAAGAGTACTTGTCAGTCATTTTGGTGTCACCCCCTGCAATGGTGTCACCCGGGTGCGGGCCGCACCCAACCTGTGTCGCCACTGCCCGACAGCATGCCTAATCCTGCCCGGATGAACGTCCCCTCCTCTCTTTGCCGACGTCCTTCACCAAGATGGCCACCAGCAGTTAAGTGCGCGTGATGTCATTAGACCCACGTGTAATGATGACACATGCGTGATGAGGTCCCAGAGGGTGACACCCGTAATAAGGACGCCTCTGCTCGCATAGCCAGTGCAAGGGAGTCTCAGCATCCGAGATAATCGCACGTGCTGCGGCGGAAAAAGAAAAGTATCAAGTTTCGGAGGCCTGGTATAAGGGAAGAGAGCACTACCTGTGGCAAATTAGGGATAGACGGCCCCGTGGCGGTACCAGGGCCGGTGCTAGGATTTTAGTCCAGGTGGGCAAGGTGCAATTTTGCGCCCCTCCCCCCCCCCCCGGCGCGCCGTACGGCGCCCGCCTTACTTGCCTTGCGCTAGCGCCGGGCCTGGGCGGTACTGGTATATATCAAATGTTTGCAATAAGGAGCCTTAGGCAGCTCTAGTAGTTGTGCAGCACGGTACCCATAAGTCTGGATGATGTATTCTTGTGCGCTTGTGTCTCCTGTTCTCAAATTGCAATAAGGAAGGAATCTACGGGGGCTGATTTATAACTCCTCCACCCAGCCAATCGCACGGCATTCCCAACACTAAATAGAGCCAATGAGCATTGGAAACTCCCGTGCTCCTCGGCTCCATCTAGTGGCAGGATGGCATATGCCCACCATATGGCTGGATGGAAGATTGATAAACTGGTCCCCAGGTGTCAGCGCCCCATAGCAAACCACCCTGACCCGTAAATTGACAGTACGGACACTGAAGCCTGCATGTGCGGATCTGCACACGGGGGACATGTGGTGTCTCCATGCATGATCTGCGTTTATAGTGCTCAGATGTGGGAGGAGCAAGAGGAAAACAATAAGAACTTTGCATTAGATGAGCTATTCAAAAAAACATTTATAAACTTTGGTCCGCACCTGTAGAATTCTTTATTGAACGCTCAATTCTTCTTCTGCGCATTCCTGCGTCTCTGCGTCCTGCGCGGCCGAATTTGGGTTCACATATTTTGCCGATTACGCTGCCGGTTGTAGAATGTGACATTGAACACGGACTCGTTTGTTCCCTATGTTGTCCTGCCGGAGGATTGATCTCTCCCTCGGGGCCGCAGCGGAGTTCTACCTCACAGCTGATTCACCGCGAACAGTTCAATGAGATGCAGATGTTGTCGTGGAGGTTCCAGACAATCATAATTATGAATAGGAAGTCCTGACAGAGACGAATGGAGGAGGAGAGGCACGAGCTACAGGGAGGCCAGATAAGGAAGAAGAAAGGAGGAGATGATATTTACCTGGAAGATGAGGAGGAAGAGGAAACAAGTCTTCCTTCCTGGATAGAGAGAGGAAGGAGAAGAGTCCTCCATCAGAGCAGAGTACACAGATCAGCAATAACATTCTGACCACCCGCCTAATACTGAGTAGGTCCACCTTGACGCATGGACTCCTCTGGGCCTCTGAAGGCGTGCTGCGGTATCTGGATGTCCCCCCCTAATATTGAGTAGGTCCCCCTTTTCCTGACCCATACAGGCATGGACTCCAAAGATCTCTGAAGGTGTGCTGTTGTATCTTGATGACCCCCCCCTAATATTGAGTAGGTCCCCCTTTTCCTGACCTGTCCAGACATGGACTCCACTAGACCTCTGAAGGTGTGCTGTGGTATCTTGATGACCCCCCCTCCTAATATTGAGTAGATCCCCTTTTCCTGACCTGGCCAGGCATGGACCCCACTAGACCTCTGAAGGTGTGCTGTGGTATCTGGCACCGAGCCGTCAGTAGCAGATCCTTTAAGTCCTGTAAGTTGTGAGGTGATCGGCCTCCATGGATCGGACTTGTTCTTCCAGCACATCCCACAGATGATCGATTGGACTGAGATCTGGAGAATTTGGAGGCGGAGTCATCACCTTAAACCCGTTGTTGTGTTCCTCAAACCATTCTTCACCCATGTGTGCAGCATGGCTGGGCTCATTATCCTGCTGAGAGAGGTCACTGCCATCAGGGAATACCGTCTCCATGAAGGGGGGGACTTGGTCAGCAACAATGTTTAGGTCGGTGGTCCGTGTCACAGTGACATCCACATGAATGGCCGGACCCGAAGTCTCCCAGCAGAACATTGCCCAAAGCATCACACGGCCTCCACCGGCTTGTCTTCTTCCCATAGTGCATCCGGGTGCCATCTCTACCATGTAAGTGACACACACACACACCGAGCCATCCACATGATTCATCAGACCGGGCCACCTTCTTCCATCGCTCCGTGGTCCAGTTCCGATGCTCATGTGCCTATTGTAGGTCCCTTTTGTCGGTGGACACGGGTCAGCATGGGCACCCAACTTATAGGCCTACCTAATGGAAGGATTACCACACTGGAATCCTGGCATGAACTGGTCTGATAAAAATGGTACTCTGGTTCCCCCTCTAACCCCACCCCCAATAAGTACCCCACCCATCGTCTGTGCCTCGGCCATGTCTGTTACTAAGGTGGAACGTCTGGATTTTGGAGCTTTTCTTCGCCATAAAAGACTTGTATAAGAATCCTTCAGAAGGGGCCGGAGCAGCCCCAGAGAACGCAGCAGTGGAGGGTGTGGCGATGAGTTCATCACTCTGGGAACTCTTCAGACGGATCGGAAGTTCCCATATTCCACGGAGGAACAAGCCAAACTTCTGTCTAATTGCAACGTGAGACTTCCACTGACGGGAGCCAAGACCTCATCACCGCGCTCTGATATCATCCGCCAGATCGTGACAGGAGCCCATACAGATGTGCCGGAACCGCGTGATTCCCGCCTGGCAAGGCTAAGGTGTTAAAGGGGCATTCCGAAAGGAGGCGCGATGAGGCACATTCGCCGCCCAAGGTTACCGATGCACGCACATTTTGTACAATCTCCATCTCCTCATTTCTATATTATTTATTATTTAATACTTTCCTCGGTTTTTACTTTGCTCTGTCTTCCGGAACCTGCTCACTTTAGCTATATATATATAGGGGGGGGGGGGGGTTCCTGCGGTAATGGGAGGAGTGGAGGAGCCAGGCCAGCACAGACAGTAATTAGACACTCCCAGAAGCTGAGGGGGCTATGATGTACAAGAAAGGCAGGCAGGACCGTCCCTACCTTATTCGCTGCCTGCGGTGGCCAGGAGAAGGGGGACGGCAGCGGCCAGCCAAGATGTCAGCCAAGTAGGGGGGGTTTTCTGGGGCCGGGGCCGGATTTCCCATGAGGCCAACCAAGGCCGGGTCTTGGGGCAGCAGGGAGTAGGGGGGCAGCAGGGAGTAGAGGGGCAGCAGGAGTGTGGAATTCCTATCTCCCAGCTCCCGGACAAGCAGTTTCCGGGCGCCGGGCGCGTAGTTGTTTTCTACATTTGTCCCGGCTTTGGGCAAGCAGAGATAAATGTAAAGCGGGGAAGCCGCGCTTGTTTTGTACAAGTGATCTCAGCGTTGTCAACCTCCTGCACTAGTCACATTGTAAGTCAATTAAACATTATTTCTATAAAGGAAAAAGTGAGAATTGAAAATGTCGAGTTCTTCTTTTTGTTGCAGTTTTTATTCTGGTGACAGGTCCTCTTTATTGAACATGTAACTGGATGAACATTAAACTTTCCGTCCTCCTATTAAATCACACGTCGCCCCCTCGCTGACCCCGTCTCCCGGAGCACGGCGGCGAGCCGCGAAGGAATCATGGCAGAAATATTCGTGTAACAAAATGAAAACAACGTTTCCAGCCAGAAGGGATCATTTTATTATTTGCAGAAGATTGACCGCTTGGTAAAACCCGCTGACAGCTCGCCGCGGTCCGAGGTGCAGAAAACATGGCGGTCGGCGGTCCGCGGAGACGGCGATGTGAAGCCTCTCTTTCGGATTGCGTGTCAAATAAAAGACCTAAAAAAACCCGCCACTGGCGGCCTCGGCGGCGACGTCATCGGGAGGTTTTGGCGAGGGGAGGAGGTGAATGGCGGCGTTACAAAGTCTCCGTCTGTTTGTCTTGGACGCCACCGAGATTCACGCACGTGAAGAGATGAGCTCAGCGTGCCGCTCAGACCTCCTCCCGTCTTCAGAGTCGGACGACCGACAACACAAATTTCGCAACTTTATTTACAAAGTCCCTCGACCTGGAACGGCGCGTCGGAATGCGGCGTACGCGGCAAAAATCGGTGAAACTTGGGACCTAAATGTATCACAATGTCAACAGTCTAAAAACGAACCCAATCCAGTTACTATGTAATGCACAAGACTCAAAACTTCCGTTACCTCCCCTGACTGAGCCAAATCCTCCTTCGTTTGTGTCTCACACGCTCCCCCCTCACAGACGCTGCAGCTCACAGAGGGAGGGGTTCAGCAACAGAGGCCATCTAGAAAGCAGTGGGCGGGACTAGGTGCTGATTGACAAGCTGCAGGCAGTGACACGGCTGATAACCACGCCCCCTCTGCAACATTTTCTCCTTCCACTTTAGTAAAAGCAGGCACAGCCTACACCAGGGTGACAACTCTGCTCTGAATTCATGAGCAGTGCAGCATTGTTGTCACCCCGACACAGGAAGCTGCATTAGGTGGACCTCACCGGCAGGATCATCAGGTATTTGTTGGAATAATACTGATTAGTAAATGTATCTATGAGAAAATATTTATCCAGAATACACAGAGGGGGTGCATTTGGGATACCTAAACTCGCGCCCCCCCCCCCCCGCGAGAAAAAAAAAACAAAGGGGGGAACTTATTTGTGGTTGCACCCTGTGCCAACGGCCACTCAGTGTCACCTGTGTTATTTCCTCAATTGTATCTAAAGTTGAAATGTTCGGGTTTTATTAGCATTGTATAGTGTAGGGAATGGTTAGCACCCCCCTTGGGTTATGTGTCTCCCCCCATTGGGGTTTTTCCCCGTACTTCCTGTTCCAGAGAAACAGCAGGAAGTGAACAGAAAAATCCTTTGAGCAGTTGTCCCCACTGTAAGAGATTTCTTGATAACTTCCTGTTCCAGTGACAACTGTAACTATTTAAATGTAAATCCCGGTGACACCTCTGGACTTGTGAAACTTTCAGAACATCACAGCGCGTAGCCGGCCAATCAGAGCCGCCGCCCGGCCGCGACACACGCCGGTCACGCGGCTGCGGATGAGCCCCGAGTTATAGGAATGTGTCTTCTCTTGTGTTGCAGGCTGGCACAGAGACAATGCTGCCTCTCCTACATCAAGGAGAACACGTGCATCGCCGGGATGATCGCCGCCAAGGAGGACGGACTCTGCCCAGCCGCGGAGAACGATCTGTGCGAGCGCTCACACTTCAAGGTACGTTTTATTCATTCATTTTACATGTTTTAAGAAAATAAATAAAGTTAGAAAAAAAGTACAAATTAACAAAAGTGCAGTAGAATGATTGACGTTTCCCGTTTGGTCTTCCGGTCTTTTGCCTTTTTCCCCCAAAGTCCGGCATTCCATCCCACATGTATATATCTTTCAGGACCCGTATATCTCTGGCTGAGCTCCAGCCTCCCCGTTCCTCTGACACCCCATTTCCCGGGCGGCACGCTGTTATATATAATGTATACACATGAGTCCGGAATGTTGTTGTTGGCTGACGGGTGTCATACTTTCCTCTCCGGATGATTTTTCAGGGTCACAGGGGGGTGATTATTCGGGTCACAGGGGGGTGATTATTCGGGTCACAGGGGGGTGATTATTCGGGTCACAGGGGGGTGATTTGTGTGGGAAATCCGCAAGGAACATTTTTTCTCTGCCCGTCCTGGAGGAAAACAAGTTAACCCCCTGCGAGCCTCCAATGGGAAAGTTGGAGCCCCGACGCGCTCCGCTGACCCGCAACAAGCTTTATTGGCACCAGACTAAGACAAACAGACATCCTCCACCCCCACCAGACAGGATTCCATCACTGACGCGCTTTAGCCACAATATAGGCTTCATCATGGGCTAGGGGACTAGGTCAAACATAGGGGACTAGGTCAAGCATAGGGCACTAGGCCAAGCGTAGGGCACTAGGCCAAGCGTAGGAGACTAGGCCAAGCGTAGTGGACTAGGTCAAGCGTAGGGGACTAGGTCAAGCGTAGGGGACTAGGTCAAGCGTAGGGGACTAGGTCAAGCGTAGGGGACTAGATCAAACAGACACCCCCCCCCCATCAGATGTGACATGTGTCCTTGACGCATTTCACCCATGATTTGGGCAAATAGTTGATGTCAGGTGATCTCACCTCCCCGCCTGCTGTGCTTTGTATTCCAGCTGTGCTGCGATTGCTGCTCCCTGGGACTGAAGATCAGGAAAGAGGGAGAATCCTGCGAGTCCAACCTGAACCTGGGCTACCCCTGTAACCACATGATGGTCCTGTGCTGCAACGGGGAGGAGCAACTCATCCCGCCAGACCTAATGATCCCGCCCAAAGCGGAGCCAACACCCGAGCCAGACAAGGGTGGGTACCGCGTGTGGGACCAGTGCTACCAGTGTTACCAGTGTGGGGCCAGTGTTACCAGTGATACCAGTGTTACCAGTGTGGGACCAGTGCTACCAGTGTTACCAGTGTGGGGCCAGTGTTACCAGTGATACCAGTGTTACCAGTGTGGGACCAGTGCTACCAGTGTTACCAGTGTGGGACCAGTGTTACCAGTGTGGGGCCAGTGTTACCAGTGATACCAGTGTTACCAGTGTGGGACCAGTGCTACCAGTGTGGGACCAGTGTTACCAGTGTCGGACCAGTGTTACCAGTGTCGGACCAGTGCTACCAATGTGGGACCAGTGCTACCAATGTGGGACCAGTGCTACCAATGTGGGACCAGTGTTTCCAGTGTGGGACCAGTGCTACCAGTGTTTCCAGTGTGGGACCAGCGCTACCAGTGTAGGACCAGCTCTACCAGTGTAGGACCAGCTCTACCAGTGTAGGACCAGCGCTAACAGTGTAGGACCAGCGCTACCAGTGTGGGACCAGTGTTACCGCTGAGGCCTCTGCCTCGGGGCCTTCGGGTTCTGGGGGGCAGACAATAATTATTGGACGATTTACAATGTATTTTATTCCCAGACGTCGATGAATGCGTTCTGAACACGCACACGTGCGCCACAAGCGAGCGCTGCGTCAACACGGTTGGATCGTTCGTATGTGTGCCGGAGGTGATGTGCCAGCCCGGGTTCCTGTTAGAAGAGGGCGTGTGCCAAGGTACCAGTCTGTGTGACTCGCCAGCCCCCAGTGGAGGGAAATTCCCTCTGACGTATCACCAGGAACACGCGTCCCCCTTATAAGATTTCCCCTCAATTCCTGGTCTGGTGACAGCTAAAAAAAAATTGGATTTCCCATTACATGGGAAATGGGTGATCATGGCCGATGGGAGGGGCCAGCAGGGGGGCGGTACAGAGCTTCCTGAAAACATCACAGCCCCCTGCCTCAGTACCGCTCGCAGATATAAGACTGAGGGGCAGCTCGGGATGTTTCTGTAGTCCGGCTCACGACTCAGAATATGATTTCCGGATTTCAATGTCAGAAAATGTTTTTGTAGATCTTTTTTTCTTTTTCTCTCCTCGTCAGATGTTAATGAATGTGCGGCGAGCCCCGCCCCCTGCAAGCCTGGCTTCGCTTGCGTCAACACCCTGGGATCCTACGTGTGCCAGAGAAAACACCTGAACTGCAACCGAGGATACCGACCCAACGAGAACGGGACGATGTGCATCGGTGAGGACCGAGAGTGCCCCGGGAGGAGATGTTTGTAGTTTTAGATTCGAGGCTTCCCCCACGAGGTGCCCCGGGAGGTGCAGATCCGGTCTGGGGGTCCGGGGGCACTGGGGAGGGATCATTGCTGCAATTTTGGCTTTGACTTAAAGGAACATCAACCTTAAAACCATCAATCTTCGTGTTGGAATACCAAACTTTGTCCCCGGTGTACCCGGCCTGGGTGGGGCAGCTTTTCTTAACCAAAGTTCCTCCAGAGAGGAATATGTGAGCAGAGGTGGAGCTCGCTTCCTACTCGATGAGGTGGGAGGAGTTCCTGTCCCAAAGTCACTCAGCAGGAACCATTACATTGATTGCCAATGTAAGTGGGCTCCTCTCCTACTGACCATGACTGGAAGTGGGCTCCTCTCCTACTGACCATGACTGAACGTAGGCTCCTCTCCTACTGACCATGACTGAATGAAGGCTCCTCCCCTACAGACCATGACTGGAAGTGGGCTCCTCTCCTACTGACCATGACTGAACGTAGGCTCCTCTCCTACTGACCATGACTGGAATTGGGCTCCTCTCCTACTGACCATGACTGAATGTAGGCTCCTCCCCTACAGATCATGACTGGAATTGGGCTCCTCTCCTACTGACCATGACTGAACGTAGGCTCCTCTCCTACTGACCATGACTGAACGTAGGCTCCTCTCCTACTGGCCATGACTGAACGTAGGCTCCTCTCCTACTGGCCATGACTGGATGTGGGCTCCTCTCCTACTGACCATGACTGAACGTACGCTCCTCTCCTACTGACCATGACTGAATCAAGGCTCCTCCCCTACAGACCATGACTGGAATTGGGCTCCTCTCCTACTGACCATGACTGAATGTAGGCTCCTCCCCTACAGATCATGACTGGAATTGGGCTCCTCTCCTACTGACCATGACTGAACGTAGGCTCCTCTCCTACTGACCATGACTGAACGTAGGCTCCTCTCCTACTGACCATGACTGGAAGTGGGCTCCTCTCCTACTGACCATGACTGAACGTAGGCTCCTCTCCTACTGACCATGACTGAACGTAGGCTCCTCTCCTACTGACCATGACTGGAAGTGGGCTCCTCTCCTACTGACCATGACTAAGCGTAGGCTCCTCTCCTACTGACCATGACTGAACGTAGGCTCCTCTCCTACTGACCATGACTGAACGTAGGCTCCTCTCCTACTGACCATGACTGGAAGTAGGCTCCTCTCCTACTGACCATGACTGAACGAAGGCTCCTCACCTACTGACCATGACTGAGCGTAGGCTCCTCTCCTACTGACCATGACTGAACGTAGGTTCCTCTCCTACTGACCATGACTGAACGTAGGCTCCTCTCCTACTGACCATGACTGAACGTAGGCTCCTCTCCTACTGACCATGACTGAACGTAGGCTCCTCTCCTACTGACCATGACTGAACGTAGGTTCCTCTCCTACTGACCATAACTGAACGAAGGCTCCTCACCTACTGACCATGACTGAGCGTAGGCTCCTCTCCTACTGACCATGACTGAGCGTAGGCTCCTCTCCTACTGACCATGACTGAGCGTAGGCTCCTCTCCTACTGACCATGACTGAGCGTAGGCTCCTCTCCTACTGACCATGACTGAGCGTAGGCTCCTCTCCTACTGACCATGACTGAGCGTAGGCTCCTCTCCTACTGACCATGACTGAGCGTAGGCTCCTCTCCTACTGACCATGACTGAGCGTAGGCTCCTCTCCTACTGACCATGACTGAGCGTAGGCTCCTCTCCTACTGACCATGACTGAGCGTAGGCTCCTCTCCTACTGACCATGACTGAGCGTAGGCTCCTCTCCTACTGACCATGACTGAGCGTAGGCTCCTCTCCTACTGACCATGACTGAGCGTAGGCTCCTCTCCTACTGACCATGACTGAGCGTAGGCTCCTCTCCTACTGACCATGACTGAGCGTAGGCTCCTCTCCTACTGACCATGACTGAGCGTAGGCTCCTCTCCTACTGACCATGACTGAGCGTAGGCTCCTCTCCTACTGACCATGACTGAGCGTAGGCTCCTCTCCTACTGACCATGACTGAGCGTAGGCTCCTCTCCTACTGACCATGACTGAGCGTAGGCTCCTCTCCTACTGACCATGACTGAGCGTAGGCTCCTCTCCTACTGACCATGACTGAGCGTAGGCTCCTCTCCTACTGACCATGACTGAGCGTAGGCTCCTCTCCTACTGACCATGACTGAGCGTAGGCTCCTCTCCTACTGACCATGACTGAGCGTAGGCTCCTCTCCTACTGACCATGACTGAGCGTAGGCTCCTCTCCTACTGACCATGACTGAGCGTAGGCTCCTCTCCTACTGACCATGACTGAGCGTAGGCTCCTCTCCTACTGACCATGACTGAGCGTAGGCTCCTCTCCTACTGACCATGACTGAGCGTAGGCTCCTCTCCTACTGACCATGACTGAGCGTAGGCTCCTCTCCTACTGACCATGACTGAGCGTAGGCTCCTCTCCTACTGACCATGACTGAGCGTAGGCTCCTCTCCTACTGACCATGACTGAGCGTAGGCTCCTCTCCTACTGACCATGACTGAGCGTAGGCTCCTCTCCTACTGACCATGACTGAGCGTAGGCTCCTCTCCTACTGACCATGACTGAGCGTAGGCTCCTCTCCTACTGACCATGACTGAGCGTAGGCTCCTCTCCTACTGACCATGACTGAGCGTAGGCTCCTCTCCTACTGACCATGACTGAGCGTAGGCTCCTCTCCTACTGACCATGACTGAGCGTAGGCTCCTCTCCTACTGACCATGACTGAACGTAGGCTCATCTCCTACTGACCATGACTGAACGTAGGCTCCTCTCCTACGGACCATGACTGGAAGTGGGCTCCTCTCCTACTGACCATGACTGAACGTAGGCTCCTCACCTACTGACCGTGACTGAACGTAGGCTCCTCTCCTACTGACCGTGACTGAACGTAGGCTCCTCTCCTACTGACCATGACTGAGCGTAGGCTCCTCTCCTACTGACCATGACTGAACGTAGGCTCATCTCCTACTGACCATGACTGAACGTAGGCTCCTACCCTACTGACCATGACTGGAAGTGGGAACTATTTACATGTCCAGTAGGAGGAGCTCTAGAAGAACTTTCTCTTGTTTATCAGGTTATTGCCTAATGTGGGCCCCGTGATGCACTCCCAGGTCTGTTGGGGTCCGTTGGGCATGTAGTTTCTGTGTAACCTCGCACTGGGTGTATATCTGGCCTGATCATTCATCATCCTTTGTTTCAGACTTTGACGAGTGCGGCGCCGGCACCCACAACTGCTCCGCCGAGCAGACCTGCACCAACCTCCCCGGATCACACCGCTGTGACTGTAAGGTGGGGTATCGCTACGACGCCTTCCGGAGGACGTGTATCGGTGAGCAGATATATATATTCATCAATAATCAATATCTGTCACCATGTTGGCTTAGACCAGGGGTAGCCAAACGGCGGCCCTCCATCTGTGTGGTGAAACTACAAATCCCACGATGCATCTCTCTCCGGGAGTCATGTCTGTGGCTGTGAGAATCTTGCAATGCCTCATGGGATTTGTAGTTCCACCACAGCTGGAGGGCCGCAGTCTGGCTACCGCTGGCTTAGAGGGTCCGTCGGTAGCGCTGTAACATAGCAGAAGCTGAAGTCCAGGGTTTCTGTCCCCCACCTGGAGCGATATCTGCATGGAGTCTGTATGTTTCCCCTCCCCTGGATTTCTTTCCATTCTCCAATTTTATCCCCAAATAAAAAAACAATCGGCAGAGGAGTTAAACTTGTTCTGCTTCAGTTGTCTTTGGAGGCTGTGGTGAGGCTGTAGCATTGTGAGCTCCTTTAGGGGTTAGGAGGAACATTGTCAGCTCCTCGGGGGCGGGGATTGACATGAGTTGTTTTGTTTTTTTTTGTCCTTTGGTTCGGGTGCTGTTGGCTTTCAGCTGCTGAAAGTAATTCTACAGGTCACACATGGTAAAGCTCCAGCTATCTTCTCAGCAGCGCATCCCGCGATGTATTTATTCCCGTATCTTGTTATTATTTCCTCTTTTGTCTTTATAAGATGTCAATGAATGTTGGACGTACCCGGGGCGCCTGTGCCACCACACCTGTGAGAACACTGTCGGCTCCTACCGCTGTTCTTGTTTTGCCGGATTCCGCTTGTCGCAGGACGGGAGACACTGTGAAGGT